TCCTGAGCTCAAGTGATCCTCCTGCCTCAGCCTTCTGAGTAGCTGGGACTATAGGCACACACCACCATGCCCAGCTAATTTTTCTATTTTTAGTAGAAACAGGGTCTCATTCTTTCTCAGGTAGATCTCAAAATCCCGAGCTCAAGCAGTCCTTGCGCCTCAGCCTACCGGAGTGCTAGGATTATAGGCGTGAGCCATCGTCCCTGGCCCCATTGCTTTTTTAATCTTTTGAGCTATAACTTTTCTGTTTTTTAACTTGATACTAACTACCAATTATATTCAGTTGTAAACACCAGCTTTAACTTGGTAATATACTTGGCATATTTGAAACCAGGGTAAAGAGATAGGGAAAAGTGTGATTTCTTCTTGGAAATAAGGTGTATAAAGAAATTTCTTCACAATTTGAAAGCAGTGACAGGTAGTAAGCCCTAATGATGAAAACCTCATTGTTTCCCCCCCTTACGAGCAAAATCTATAAAGAGAAATCAGTGTTTTCTGTGTCAGTTTGTTTAGAAGATCTTTCTGTTCATATTATGCAGTACTTGTATCATCTTAATACTTAAAATATAAAATCCAGATTATCCAAATATAATACTAGGATTTAAACTGTTGACTTTGTTTTACCTCTAATGTGGACTCTTGGAATTTTACCTGACTTTTTTCCCCCTAATAATCACTGCTACTTTTTTTTTTTTTAGCTCAGTTCAAGTAGAATTCTACCAAATTATAAAACCTTAATGAAAACTGTTGTGACCATATGCTTAGTTTTTTGTTTCCATACTTCCAAATCAGTGCTTTCTGACTATTCTTTATGAAACATTTATATTTCCCTTCATAGGGTATTACATATGACCATGTAGAATTAAATGTATATTTGAATGGAAAAAACATGCATTGTCCGGCATCAGGTATACGAGGGACAGTGTATCCAGTTGTTTATGGTAAGCTAAAATATTTCTAATATGATGTTAGATATTTGTTAACTTTTGTTTGGCATTTATGTTAATTTTATAGCTATCATTTAAAAGTCTGGACAAGTTGTTAATAAGGACCTTGTTATATGGAATGTACTCAGTAGGATATTACAATCCCACTTTGTAGGATTAAGGGTAGTTTTTATTCCCTATGTATTTTTTTTAAAAAACTTGCTAAATACAATGATAATACTTAAATATGAAATGACCATACTCCCTTTTTCATCAGGTAGTCTTATATTGTAGAAAGTTTCAAAAAGCTTTAGTGAATTTACAAAGCTTTTTCTGCCATTTATTAGGAAGGATTAGATGACCAGGAAATGTAATTATAAAGAATATTTTGGAACTAGGGATGGGAATCTTATGTAGCTTGGGTATTAATTTACCTTTATAAAATTCCCCAAATGTTAAAGCTCTTCTAAGAGAAATTGTGACTTAGAATAGTTTCATATCAATTGTTTTGCTTTTGATAGCATGTACATATAAATGCTATCATTTCTGCACAAATGTGTCCCTCTGAGAATTGAGTTACTTAAGAGATAAGTATATACCACTTAATTACTTGAATTTTTATTATAGAAAATTTCAAACATGAATTGTGACTTAGAATAGTTTCATATCAATTGTTTTGCTTTTGATAGCATGTACATATAAATGCTATCATTTCTGCACAAATATGTCCCTCTGAGAATTGAGTTACTTAAGAGATAAGTATATACCACTTAATTACTTGAATTTTTATTATAGAAAATTTCAAACATGTGCAGAAGTAAAGAGAGTAGTATAATGAACCCTTGTGTACCTATCACCCAGCTTCAATTACCAAATTATAGCCAATTGGGTTTGGTTTACCTCCATGTGTTCCTGTCACCTCCCCCCCACTTGGATTATTTCGAAGCAAATGCCAGACATTATATCATTTTATCCATAAATATTTTATGTGTATCTCTACAAAGTAAGGCCTTTCTCTTTTTTAAAAAAAA